CCTTCTCCCCTCCAGACTTGCTAGCTCTGCCTGGACCAACTGGAATACCAGCAGCCCGGGGATATCACCAGAGGAGCCATCCTGCCTCTGGTCAGGCAGTTTATATATTTTCAAGGCCTTGATTGCTATGAAGCTTGGATCCCAGATCTGACATTCACCATTTGCCACTCCAGCAGAGCTATCAGCAGAGCTGAAATGAGAGCATCACATGTTCCTGACTCTAATGGCTTCTGGACCAACTGGAATACCAGCAGCCCGGGGATATCACCAGAGGAGCCATCCTGCCTCTGGTCAGGCAGTTTATATATTTTCAAGGCCTTGATTGCTATGAAGCTTGGATCCCAGATCTGACATTCACCATTTGCCACTCCAGCAGAGCTATCAGCAGAGCTGAAATGAGAGCATCACATGTTCCTGACTCTAATGGCTTCCTCTGCACTCCCCACTCCTCCTGCCACAGGCAGAAGCATGATCTGCTCCACAGAGTCAAGACAGCCATCATTTTCCCTTTGGACAGTACTAGGAAATGAGGACTTGGTCCAACGCAACCCACTTGATGTCCAAGCCACAAGGCAGCCCTCTGTAAGATCGCATCTCCTTTGTGGGTCTTGTTTAGACCTGTCAGTAGTCAATAACAAAAGAGTACAGAAGGGATGGGAACAGATCCAAGATCCTGGATCTCAAACAAGAGATTTAGGCAGGGAGAAAGGGGAGGAAGGCCAGAGGCATGCCTCCCAGGAGGAAGATTCCCACAGACAAGGACTACAGAGGACACTCACGCCTTTTGCATATTCTGAAGTGCCCTACTCAAGGGTGACTTTGTCCAGCTTGAAGGAAGGCAATCGGTTTTTTGGGGGGTTTTTTTGTTTGTTTCCTCAGGATGAGCTGTCCTGTTCCTTGTCATAGTAGGTACAACCCTAGGACTCCCTGTTCACTGCAGGAAAAAGACAAGCATAGCCTAGGGTATGAAGAACACTACCCTGGGAATTCCTGTCCAAAAGGAGACACAACAAAACAGCCGGGGGACTGAGCAGTAACTGCTCATGCCTTCCTAAATGAAGAGTTAATCTCCAATAACTTTCTGCATCTTTACCTGTCTTTCTACAAAAGCCAAGTGGAATCAAGAGTATTTCTAGATTGTACCATGTCTTTTATCCCACGTTTACCAAGAATGGAAATGGCAAAAGCACAGATAGATAGGCCAAGATATTCCCCTGGTACTCTGCTCTCTCAGTTCACAGAAATCAAAATTATTTTACTCATAAGACTTCTTCCAAGAATAAACTTAAGAGATCAAATAATCTCCCACCCGACTTGAAGATAACTGAAAAGCCAAGAGAGCCCAGCCTTTTCTGTTTACGGAAAAAAAAAATTATAGCTCCACCTATCAGCAAGCGGCAGAAGAGTCCACAAGCAGCTTGGACACTGACTGTGGGAAAAAGTCAAAGCTTCATATGTCTGAAAAGGCAATTAGGGCTGAGAAGTTGGGAAGGCAGAGCTAGCAAAGCAACAATTCCAAAACCAGAAGCTGTCCTCTGCCTCCTATACCTTTTATTTACCAGTTTCATCTCTCTGTATCTTCTTACTCTTTCCTCATCTTCCATTCTCCTCAGCTCCTGTTTGCTGTTTTTTTCCTCCTTATCCCTATTTTCCACACAACCTCCTTCTGACATTGACTCGCTACCCACCGATGCTGAATTGCTTGCACAGCGACTTAGAAGCTGTATGTCTCATCTGATGACATTGTTATTGCACTGACAGCAAATATCAGTAAGAAATGCAATGGTAGTGTTTGTGTTTTTGTAAGCCTATAAACTAGATTCCATAAATTTATTACCATATATAAATAGGAGCAAACACACTGCAATCATTAAAAATCATTATAACAGAGCTCATGATGGTATAACATGGGGAATCTTGCTAAATGGAAAATCTGTTCATCTGCAGAATCAAATTAATGTTATCATGATCCACTACAGTATACTGTACCACCAATGTAAGCAGAGGTATAATTGAACTAAATTTGGAATAGTAAATTATTAACTAAAAATATCTTTGATAAACATACAACCTGTGCAGCTCAAATGCAAAAGATACATAGCACCCTCTACCGATAACTGCTTATAAAGTCAGCAATTTTCTTCTGGCTCATAATTCAGTTTCGTAATAACACTGAGTAAACATAAGCTAGTTGAGTAATCATACAACACTGAAAATGTTTCAGTATAACCACATAGCACTGGAAAAATCTTCCTTCTCCCTCTCTGATTATTCTGCAACAGTTGCCTTATACCGCTGACAATTTGGCCCAAGCCATTCAAATACAACCCAGAAGAAGTCCTTTGTTAAGGATCAGCTAGCCCTGAGTCTTGAACAACTCTCAAGGTAAGCTCATTATACAGGCATGACACACAATTCCTAAGAATTTCCAGTTAATAAAGTAGTTTTGCAGGGCTTGGCTAAATTTTATTTTGACTTGCATATAGGAGAAAGGACCTTGTAACAAACATCACAACAGTCACAGTAACAAAGCACCTTTCTCTTGGTCCTCATGTGCCTAAAACCAGAAAGATCCTACTATACTGCTTCAGGCAGCTGCCTGGTTCACTACAAAGCTTAACAGTTGGCAACATAAATATCCACAGTGACAATAATATAGCTGAAAGCTATTTGTAATACTCACCAAAACACCACATTTAAGTCGAAGCAGCTATGGCTGTGACATTTGAAGAAGAGCCAGAGCGAAGCTCAGATATGGGAATCTCCCCTTCTGCACATCCAACAAGCAATCACTCCTGAGGTATTGGTCCAAGGTGCATTCAAGGTACTTGCCAAACCGAGACCTGAGTGATCTGGTTGTACAAGAGCCAGCTAGTGCTAACTCCAAATGCCCTTCCTTTTGTGCCCTTTCAAAACAGCCACTTTGTGGTATGAATGTAAATGTCTAAACTGCCATTGAAAGTATTGGATCAACAGCAGCTCATAGGTCATCAATGGTACCTCTGTTACTCAATGCCATTGCTGATGTCTTCCTACCAACACCTCAGCAGCTTTGCTCCTTCTCACCTAAAATGGCCTCCCTGCCATTTCACGTCCCAATCACTTTTACACCTCATCACACAGGCGTCTTGCTACATCTCTACTCATTGCTCATTAGGTCTCTGCTACAAAGCTGCCAGCACTAATCCTACCACAGTATTGCACAATTCAGGACTGAGATTAAAGCCACTAGTTGCTGATATTGCCTTTCTAAGCAGCAGATGATTTACAGTTCCCAACTGTGCTACTTAATAACAAGACTTAAACTGAAAAGCAATTTTAAAAAATTGAAAAAATTAGAAAGTAACTTAAGAAAATTGAAACATGGAGAAACTGATAGCAGTATTAAGACTGGATGATGATGTAGCAAACCCAATCACAGCAAACATGGAAAAACCATGAAGAAGAGGAGGTAATCTTCACTTTTTTGATAAGAAATCAATAGTTTCACACAGAATATAATTAATACAGAATGC